AAACCAATCACAACACACGGACCTTATTTGGATCCCAACTGAAACTACGAAGTACATATCTATACTCTGTGTATCTGCGTATGTGTGTGTATCACTTTAGGAGGCACACAATGTTGGTAAGGTGGTTATAATATATGCATATATACATATGAGACAATCAGGGAAATGTGAAAACAATAAGACATTTATTATATTAAGGAATTATTTTCATATGTGATAATGATAACTCTATTGTGCTTATATTTGCAGGCCTTTATTTTTTAGAGAAATATACTCGGAGATATTTTTCAGCTAAAATTATGCCTGTGATGTGAGGGAGCTGCAGAGACCGCAGATAACAAGATTGGCTATATACTGATAATTGCTGAAGCTGAATGATAGTATATTGGGTTTATTACTCTATTACATTCCCTACACTATTCCCTCTATTCACAAGTTTGAAATTCTCAATAAAAAATTAAAATTAATCAATTTAATCAATTCTAGGTACGTTAAAAAAATTTTTTTTTTTTTAATTTCATAGGAACACAGAGTATCTTTCACCTCAGAGTAGAGAAAGACTTCTTCTTAAGGATAAAAACAGAAACCACCTTACCAACATTATGTGCCTCCTGAAGAGATACACTAGGGAAGGATACAACATTGCTTATGTAATATTACTGACCAAAACACATAACCTCAATCTAGTCACGAGGAAACATCAGCAAACCCAAATTGTGGACTATTCTACAAAATAACTGGCAAGTAGTCTTCAAAAATGTAAGTTGTATACTGTCTCACCCTTCACCAAAGATACCACTTATCTATTGTCTATTTAGTATTTACCCCCCTCCCACCCCTCCCATTCTAACTAAAAAAAAAAGACCAGATTTGCTCGCCTGACAGACTGGAGAAACCCCGAGAATATGGCCCCTAGAGACCCTTTTAGCTCAGGGGTGAAGTCACTTCCAAGGTTCACCATTCAACTGGGGATTAGACAGCCTCATAAAACAAAACGGGACTAAGGAGGCACTGCAGTCCAGGGATAAGGACTAGAAGGCAGAAGGGGACAGGAAAGCTAGTGATAGGGAACCCAAGGTTGAGTAAGGACAGTGCTGACATGTAGTGGGGTTGTTAACCACTGTCACAGGGCAACACGTGTACTAACTGTTTAATGAGAAACTTTTGTTCTGTAAACCTGCATCTAAAGTGAGAATAGCAGCACAACCAGAAGAACACAATCAATGTCACTGAATTGTGCATGTAGAAATTTTTGAAATGGTGTATCTTTGGCTATGTATATTTTCATCAAAAAAAAAAAAAGTCAAGAAGGGAGAGGGCTAACACGTCATGGGATTATTAACCAATGTCATAAAACAATGTATGTACTGACCGTTTAATGAGAAACTATTTGTTCTGTAAACCTTCACCTAAAGTACAATTAAAAAAAAAAAAGTCAAAGTTGTGAAGACAAAAGCTACAGAATTCTTCCAGATAAAGAAACTAAAGAAAAAACAATGCAGTGTATGACCCTGAATTACATCGTGAACCAGGGAAAAACTTTTTTTTTTTAAGGTGGAAAAGGGGAGACCTATAAAGGACATTATAGGGATAACTGAAAAACATCTGAATAACCACTGATGATTAAATAATAGCATTCCATGTCTGCTAAATTTCCTGGTTTTGAAAATTATACAGTGGTTATGCAAATGAATGTCCACACAATGCCTACAACCTATTTTCAAGTGGCTGGGGGGAGGGGGTGTAAATGTGTGTGTGTGTATGTATGTATATATATAGAGAGAGAATGGTAACAGGAATATGACAAAAGAAACTAGAATGTATATAACTATATTACACATAATGGTAGTATATAAACATATAATATTATCCATATATTCATATACACAAAGTGAATGATAACATGAACATGACAAAATGCAACTAGTGAAGATGAAAGAAGGACATATGGAAGTTCTTAGTGTTTTTCTTGCAAATTTGCTTTAAGTTTGAAAATTATTTCCAAATGTTTTTTTTTTTTGCTATTTGAATACAAAATTAGAAACAAAAACCATACAGGAAAAAGATAATAAATTTGACTACACACCTACTCCTCACTTATCAACTATCTCGTTATCCGTCATTTCGCATTTATGACAATAGTAAAAAAAAAAATCTACTATCCGACTATTTTGCACATTGACGACCCTGCCAATCTGCATACCCTCGCAGCACACAGCTAGTCCAGAGCATGGAGAGGGAGAAGCAGCGGCACCACCCCCAGCGTCTTTAACGCCAGTCTGGAACCTACAAAGCTCCAGCTCCTCCTGGCTTGCACCTCCCCGCATGCCTCATCTTCTGCCACGAAGGGCTGCGGCAACTATCCCATGGCTGAGGCCTGTCTTCTGCCCCACTTCCCACACTGAGTACACTGCAAAGCCCATGCCGGGATGCCTGGCAGCTAAGGACACGCAGCATGCGCAGCATATCCAGCATAGATTCGGATTCTGGTGAGCAGAGTGAGGCAGAGCCCGTGATCACTACAGGTACGGAGGTGCCGTGGTCACCCAGCTGGGAGGGCTGGGGCTGGGGCGGAGGGGAGGGCAGGACAGTAAATCACGAGTATTTCACATAATGCTGATTTTCGCATACTAACCTCATCTTTGGAACTTAACCATGTCGGTAAGTGAGGAGTAGGCGTATTTTCAAAAAATTTAAAGACTACTTTTAAAACCAACATTTGCCACAGACTAGGAGGATATCTGCAATCAACAAAAAGTAAATTTCCAAAAGTATAAAGTATCTCTAAAATAAATAAGGAAAAGACAATCCAATATAAAAATGGACATAGATGTGAACAGACAATTCACAGAAGAGAAAATCCAAATGATCAGTAAACTACCAAAAGACTCACTTTATATTTTATTCAACTTCCCATCAGTCTTTTAAAAAAACTAGTTATGTTTACTTCCTGACAGGTTCACAGCTTTTACACGAATGACTGTTCTTTAGCGCTAAATCATTTTTTAATAGACTGCATAAGAGTCACTAAAGAGGAACCAACTTTACGTAGGATTCAAGATTATATAGTTTCCAATGTAGATTATTTGGTAAAACTTCAGGGACATTGTTACTGTCAAACAAGAATCGGCTATTTTTTTTACAGCAGTGTATCATTGTTGTTCTCTATTCAGACCTACTTACATTTATCATTATCTTTTCTGACTATAGTTCCAAGGTAATTTTTCAATTTTCAACACATAATCAAGATGGTGACAAAGGTATAAAAAAAAAGAATAGTCATCATTTGTGAACCCCACCACTCAGATTAAGCCTCTCTATGTCCTTTTCTCAGTACAATTCCCTCTAACCTCTACTGGACTCCTTGCTAGAGGTAACCACTATATTGAATTGACATCTATCATTACTGTGAACTTTTTTTATAGTGTGTGTGTGTGTGCGCGCACATCCCTAAACAAGTATTTTCATCTTCACTAGTAATCAGGGAAAAATCACACTGATGAAGTGTAGGGTTGCACAGCCAATTACTGTAATTGCTGTCAATAAGCTGTACATCTGTGAAAAGCTGGATTAGCAGAAGTTCTGTGATAAGATATATTTATATATTTACAACAATGACCAAAAACAAAAAAAAAGAGTCGCTGCTAAGGCTGCTTATGTACGACCAAACACCTCATGGAATTTGGTTCTTTGGTTTGGAAGTTTAAGGTCATGGTTTCATGGGACTTCCTAGTTAACTGGCCGAATAACGTGTTTAGTGCTTCTGTTCTACCTCCTAGTTCGTTGCATAGTGCTTGGGGTAGTAAAGCTTGCAATCGGCCATCCAAGGCACAATTGGTCTATATTCACCTGGAGCAACAGAGGAAGGAGGAGAGTCAGGAAGAGGAGGAAGATATGGAATGTGTGGCTAACTGCCTCCATGAACAACTGCCTCCTTTGCCATGAGACCAGAAGAATGGGATGGTGCCAGGTACCATTACCGAACATTTTGATCAAAGAGTCCACAGAAGAATCCTGATCAAAAGGGGTAAAATGTAGAACAGAATTTCAAATTCTCATGGACTCTAGACTTTCTCGAGCCATGGAGGGTGGATAAGCCCCTGAAATTACTGCCCTGAGATAATCTTTAAACCCTAAACCAGAAATATCCCCTCAAGTGACCTTAAAACCAAACAATAGTTCAGCTTAACTAGTAAAAAAGGTCTGCTTTGAGCATTATGCTCTTTAAGAAGTATCCATATGGGATCAAATTGACAACAGCAACTCAAAAGATTAGACAAGAACCTTAGGGGGCAGTGAGTTGATGAAAAGGAGGGTAAGAATGGTTACACAACTCAAAGAATGTAATCAGTGTCACTAAATCGTACATGTAGTAACTGTTGGTGTACATTTTGTTGTGTATATTCTCAACAACAATCACAAAATAAATTTCAGAAGGAAAAAAAAAACTGTTTATGCGACAACCAGAATGAAATTTGTAAGAATGCTGACACATTGTGAAAAATGTAATTGTCACTGAATAATTTGTATAGATACTGTTAAATGGGAACATAATGTGCTATATAAACTCTAACTGAAAACAAAACATTATTTAAAAAAATATAATTACAGTGAGACACAGGTAATTTTATAGGCATTAAAATGGCAAAAATATTAAAGTCTAGCCCATTGTTGGCTAGGATATAGAACTGTCATACAATCATATAACTACTGCAGTCATACAATAGAGATAGGTGTTCACAAAGTCAATTATCATCACTACACAAAAACACAGAATGAGATGAGGAAGACCCTTGTTCTGCTTGTAGCCTTGTGAATAATATAAGCCTGGAATTGGAGCCAATTAGACAGCCTGTTGCTTGGATAGCTCTCCCTTGCCCTTACTTTAGCCCTGTATATATAGGCCCACTCAGGAAAGATCAGCATTTCTACACAGCCAAGAAAGAGAAGGGAAAAAAAAGAGATGTAGACTATCACAGCGCCAAAAATTTTTTACATACCTGTCCCAGTCCTCATTTGCAGCTCTTCTTCTCCAGGACCGTTCTGCACCAGGCTTATCAAATTGATCAAAGTCATCATCTGTAAAGATTTTATTAAAATCATTCTTACTAAAGGAAACCAGATATAGAGCACAAAAATGTTCAAATATGAAAACAACTGGATTCTTTTAAGGGTTCCTGACATAACATTTCAAAATAAAGTTTCACATACAACTATTATAAATGATTTACCCAGACATGTAATAACCCTTGAGATTTTTAATAACTTTAAAAGTACACAGCTACCCAAATAAAATCAACTTATTAAACACTACTAGGTATGAACAATTGCTAACAAGAACACAGAATTTTTTTTTAATCAATTTTAATAGTGTTTTCTTTATAAAATAATGGTTTGGGGTTTTTTTTTTTACTGTATAAAAGGAAGAAAAATTACTGATTTTCTACAGTTAAAGAAAGTTTTATAATACTTTTTATAATCTTCACATTTTTCTAAATTAATTCTCGAATACAAAGCCCCTATTTAAGGGAAGGAAAGAATCTAGAGCAGCACTGTGCAATATATGAAAGCCTCAGACATAACTTTAAACTTTCTAGTAGCCACATTAAAAAGGTAAAAAGGAACATGTAAAAATAATTTTAACAATATATTTTAATTTCCCAAATATCATTTCAGCATTAATCAATATAAAATAATGAGATATTTTACCTTTTTTCACACTCTTAGAAATCCAGTCTATATTCTACATACACAGCACATCTCAATATGGACTAGCCACATTTCAAATGCTCAACAGCCATTTAATTGAAATGATCCAGAAGTGCAAGTGGCTACACCAAGGTGTACAGGGCAGATGCAGAGAATAAGAGCAGGGCCCTTTAAGACTAAGTTCTTTTTTTTTGTAAATTGAAGTTACTGTCTACTTAAGGAATTGCTGGCATATTAAATGTGGCAATATACTCAAGATAGAAGAACTGGCATGGGTTGCACCTGATACATAGTTATTTTTATTATTAGAAAAATCAAGGAGTGGAAATTAAATTTTTCATCTTAGGTACACATACAAGCAAAGATGCTTGAGAACTAGCAATGGGTACTTATCCTCAGAGAGATTCAACATAGGGGAACCAGATGATATAAACACCTATAAAGCCTCAAGAATTTGTTCAGCCCAGAGCTGGAAGTTAACCAATAAAATTCTAATAAGGTAATATAACATGCCTTATCATACAGTACCAGACGGAACAGGGGCTTTAAATAAATAAATAAAACATGAATGAAGTATACTAAAAAAATTAATAGCCTTGAGAGTTCCACTTCCAGCATAACAGCCTGAGAAGCTCTGTGGATCCACTCCCAGTGAATTAAAAAAAAAAAAAAAAAAATTTTAAACCATTTAAAGTACACAGCTACCCAAAGCATGGAGCAAATAAGAACACAGTTATTTGAGAAAACATACTAAAATTCAGTAAAACCAGAGAGTCTGTGGTATTTGCTCCCTCCTTCTCCTATCCCAGGTCAATGGATGGAAACTCCCCTCCAAGCCCCAAGAACAAATGGCTCTCTCTTCCTACAGCTCTCAGTCAGAGGGGCTGTCTTACCAGGATGGGTAGAACCTCAATACTTCTCACCCTGTCCCCAGCAGCCTACTGCTGAGGCTAAGTTCTGGGTGAGTGGGATCAAGAAGCAGACTCTTCCTTTTTCAGCCCAACCCCAAGTACTGGTGCAAAGACTCTACCCTGGGCGTAACAGCACTGAGAATACTGGGGCCCTGACTGCCCTGCCCTGCTCATGAGTGAGGGTTCCACACAAACAGGCAAACTGAGGTGACCTGAGGCTGCTGCTCCCTCCTCAGAATCCTAAAGTCGAGGTGTCACTCACAGACAAGTATGCCATTGTCCCTGCCAGCAGCACCAGAGCTCTGGCTCAGAAGTTTCATCCAGGGGAACAGCAGGTCTTAGAACAGAGAGTTCCAAATCTCTCCCAAAAGAAACTGACTTCATTTGAAACAGAGTGGAGAAGTTCAAGTCTATGGGTGCTCTCAAAAAAAAATGGAGGTTTGGTGAAAAGCAATTGGGAGGAGACCAATAGATTCTTACATTTTCTTACAACATGGATGCTAAAATCCTCAAAAAAAACCTAGCAAACTGAATCCAGAAACACATAAAAAGAATTATATACCACGATTAAGAGGAATTTATGCCAGGAATGCAAGGTTAATATAACCTATTTTAAAAAAATCTAAAAATTAATGTAATACGATATTATCAATAGCACAAAAAACAGAAACCACACGGTAATCTCACTAAACACAAAAAAAATTTAACACCTCTTCATGATTAAAACACTCAACAAACTAGGAATACAAGGGAACATCCACTACCTTATAAAAGGCATCTACAATAACCCACAACTAAATACCTAACAGTGAAAGAGCGAATGCTTTCCTCCATGACCAAAAACAAGACAATAATGCCAGCTCTCATGGCTTCTATTCAACACTATACTGGAGATTCTAGCCAAGAGACTTAGGCAAGAAAAAAATGTTATGCGAACTGGAAAGGAAGAAGTAAAATTTTCTCTATTTACATATGACATGATCTTGCATAAAGGCTGTTGTTGTTGTTAGGTACCGTCCAGTCAGTTCCAACTCACAGCGACCCTACGTACAACAGAACAAAACACTGCCGAGTCCTGTATAAAGGTAATCCTAAGAAATCCACCAAAACCTGTAGAACTGATAAACAAGTTCAACAATTTTTTTTTTACACAAACTGATATTTTATGCAACGATAAATACATTTTATACACTACCAATGACTAATCTGAAACTCAAATACGAAAACAATTTCAGTTACAATAGCATCAAAAACAATAAAATGTTTACTATTTTATTAGGATAAATTCTAATTTATAGAACTGCAGCGTAAAACTGATACTGTGAGGGGGAGAAAACAGAGAGGATCACTGAAGAAATGCTGACGGAAAACTTCCCCAACAACATGAAAGATGAAAAGCTGACCATCCAAGAAGCTCAACGAACCCCATATAGGACAGATCCCAAAAGAAAATCATCAAAGTATATCATAATCACACTCACTAAAACTAAAGACAAGAAAAGAAGTCTGAGAGCAGCTCGAGAAAAGTGAAAAGTCACATACAGACGAGAAACAGTAAGACTAAGCTCAGACTACTTGGCAGAAACCATGCAGGCAAGAAGGCAATGGAATAACATATATAAAACCTTGAAAGAAAAAAATTGCCAACCAAGAATAACATATCCTGAGACTTCCAGGCAGCATGGCGCTGTAGTCAGAAGCACCACGCCGTCCCTCCACAGCAAAGATCAGAAAAACTAAGTCAAACAGAGTTACACGTCAATCCTGAAACCCTAAGCATCAAATGAAGAGATAAAGAACTCACCCAAGCACCAAATGGAATAAGAAACTGACCGAGAACAGAGCGCAAGGAGAGATACATGCAGAGGTTCCCTATCAGCTACCACAGCATGGATCCGCCATCTTGGACTCCTATCAGAGATCAGTGAACAGGGGGTACAAGAAAGCAGCTTCACGGAGCTTCCAGCAGGAGACAGAACAACCAATAACCAGCGATATAGACTTTTCCACCCCCCACCCGTCTTCACCCCCCACTTAGCTTCTTGTGCTTCCTGCAGCCACAGTCTCTTGGCCGGGAAGCACCACCTTCACCCCGGTGTCACTTGCGTTCCACCTGCCCGCAATGGCCGGCTCCCTGAGTGCCTTTTGTTGGCTGCCAGTGTTGCTTTTCTCCACTTCTTTAGATTTCTTCCTTACCTCTCACCACTTCCGCCTCCTTTCTCTCTAACACCTGGCTCCGTGCGCCATCTTTGCTTCTTCCTGAAAGGCTGCGAAACACCGCTCAACTGTGAAACTACTTCCCGGCCCTTGTCGCCATGCTGGTGGGACCCCCAGGGCTTTTATGTTTGTTTCCTCTGATTTCTTCTGTTTTGATTTGTTTGTTTTCTTTTTCTTTTCTCAGCTTGGGAGCCCCTTCTAGCGGGGCAGTACCGCGTGGCTTGGAAGCTACTCCCAAACTCTGCACAGACGCACAGGGACATCCTTTGTTTTTGTTTTTGTTTTTTTTTTTCGGGTTTTTTTCTTTGTTTTGTTTTCTTCTCTCTCTTATGCCCATTCTGTCTTTCTTCACTTCCAGTCTCTCGATTTATTCATTTTTTTCTTTTTTTCTGATTTCCCCATTTCTCAGTCTCTCATCTCTCCACTCCAATAGCAAGCTCCCTTAGCACTCTTTTTTGCTTGTGTGTATGTTTTTGGCCCCTGTTCCTCTCTCCTCTCATCTTTCCCATACCCATCTTAGCTCCACACATCACAATCTACCCCCTCCTTCCTGCCTACCTGCACTGTGCGCTGAACATCACACTCCCAAGCAGCACAGGCATGGCCTATTGGAACCTGCCCTGTGCTGATTCCCGGTCCTCACTGTCAGCCCTGGTATGTGCCACAAACAACCCATCACAGAAACTCCCCTTCAGCTGGACCTGCCCAGCTGTACCATACCTGAGTGACTGACCCTGCCCATTGGAGAAAGAGGTGAAAAGTATCGTGCCCACAGATGAACAAACAACAAAGAACGCACAGCCCACCTGCTCAGACATAACCAAATAAATCAAACAAGCAGGATGAAACAAATAAATATACAATCAATAAACGAGGAAAATAACCACTCAATGCCCCCAAAACAACAGACAATATCAAAACATTTACAAAAACAGTACAGGATGGTTCCAGTAGGTGTCCAACATAAAACACCAGATGACCTTCCAGTAGAAGTAAAGGCACTAGACCTAACTGATAGAGAATTCAAATCTCTAATATTTAGAATTATCCAAGAGTTGAAGCAAAAAGCAGACAAAAATCAGGAAAAAACACACAAATTCATGGAAAAGGAAGACAAATTCATGAAAAATACAGACCAAAAAAAGAATTCAAGAAAATACAGTAACAAAATGCTAAAATAAATTCACAATTAGAAACCATACAATTAGAAATCCAAAAGATAAACAACAAGGTTTCAGAAAT